TGAGCCTCCACGTTAACGCCATTGTTTGGAGAAACAGAGTGGGTGTGGAACTGGGGCGAACCGGTCCAAAGTCAAAAGTGCTCAGCCAGATAGTCGCATATATAAAACTACGAAGTTAAACTCTCCTCGTCTCCGAAAAGACACAGTAAGAACCCTGAGGTGCCCGGAAGATCAGAAGGAAAGCGCTGTCGATTTGCTCCAGCCTCAAAACATCGCCTCTGTCAAGAAGTGAGCAGTTCTGGATTTTCTAAAGGGATGGGGAGGGTGACTGGGCAGATAAAACTTGAGATTAAAATTGTTGGTTTAGGCCGTGCTGGGGTTGCTGGGTTGGCGAATTTCATAGGAGAAGCCTCAAAGAGACACAGCATCCTGGTACTTTGTGAGAACCACGTGACAGCAGCCAGGTACCTTTGATTGTGGGAGCCGAGTTCCTGGAACTCGAGCTTTCTCCTGCGATAGAGCTGTATGGGGGCCGAATTAAGCGTTCTCTGGTGGCTGTCAGCTTCAGAGTGGTTCTGCCTAATTCAAAACAAAAATAAGTTTGCATTGGCAATATAACTTATTTGGGTGATCCCGGTTAGTGTGACCTGCCAGTGAACTAGACCAGATATTCTAGGAGCATGTTGCTCTGGGAGAACATGTAGAAAATAAGTTGATGGATGACTCCTCCCTCTCCCTCCCCATGTCTTCTTTGTTCACTGTTATTTTCCAAATTGAGTTGGAAGGAGATCCCAGAAAGAGAAAGGGAGGTGGAGGAGCCTTCCAGTAATATTTCTTTATAAAATGAGGGATTACTACACATTGACTAAGCTATGATACTTAGACAATAACAGGATTAATGCTAGTAAAGTAACTAGCAAGTATCTCCTCCCCTAATAGGAGGATTTTTTTTTTTAAGCAGAACTTTCTGCCTAGTCATGCCCTTTTCAGTCATGCCCTTTAGAGAGAAATTATATTTCTAAGGAAAAGGCACCTAACTGACTAGCTGACTAAGCAGCTGGATCACTAGGGAGAAAAAACAGGAGGCAATGGGTTTTGAGTTGCTATTTCCCAGATTTTAAAAGCCAGTGATGGATTTATCTTGGAAAAAATACAAAACAGAAGTTGATCTTACCACCGTGAGTGAGGATGCACCAGCCTTCTTGGGTGCAGGGTCATTCTGTCTTAGAATTTGGCTTCATGGAAAGGACTGGGCACTTTAAAAGTACACCTTTGCCTGTTATGTACCATCTGAGAAGGTGCTTAATAATGAAAATACTTTGTTTAGCAATTACACTTAAAACTAAAGAATTCACAAGAACATTGAAATTTAGATAAGTGTAGAAAAAGTTATCACCTGTAATTTAAGAAATTGTGCAGAGACACCAATAAATTTTTCCAAATGATTTTTAATTTATTTCTCAAAACTAAAATATAAATAAATTAAAAGAAAAAGAAAAATCCTTTCAGCGCTGCTAATGACTAAACCACATAGATGATTTTTAATGCCATATTTTCTTGAAACTGAAGTTGGCTTAAAGTCATTCATTATTTATATTTTCTTTTAGTTCTAGTCTAAAGGAAATTGGTTGTATTTCTCTCACAAAATGCAACATTAAGGGCTAGAGCTGTTTGAGAAAAGTATCATTTATCCATAACAAGTGTTCTCTAAGAAAAACCCTTTCATAACCCTTTTCATCTAATTGACACTTGGGAATATCAATTAAAACTTTCTCCATGAAATTAGGCTTTGAAACCCAGATTTGATAGTGAGGAAACCAAAGCTGAAAAATCAGGGTATTGACAGTTCTAGCATTTGGACTTCTTTTCCTTCTGAAGCTTCTTGACCTTATCTTCTTAAACAAACAAACAAACAAAAAACTCCCTTCCCGTCAATTCCTTTCTGACTCCATCCTTGCCATAACCTGCTACCGTGAGAATGGGAGGTTCAGCGGCTTTCAGATCTTCATTTTACTGAGGTGGCGTGAGATGGAGATAGCGCCTCCCTGGGCAAAATGAGAATTGACAATTCTACATCCTAGTTCTAAAGTCTAGTCTTCTATTAAGCGCCGTCCAAATCTCATTTTCTAGGGCTTCTCTTGTTACGGAAAATCACTCTTTGCTCTGTAACAATGCAGACACACTGTGTGCTTTCCTTCTTTTGTTTCTGTCCCAGATTAGAAAGGAAGGTTGCTGGCAGTGAGGAGGGAAGAGTGATCTGGTGATAGACTATTGTAAATCGCCTCTGATAGATTCTTCCTAGACCGCAATGAGTCAGCCACCGACGGGGGGCGCTGCCCCTGCCACAGCTGCAGCTTCTGCGGCCACAGCTGCCACTGAGGCTCGCTTGCACCCGGAGGGCAGCAGCAGAAAGCAGCAGCGTGCTCAGTCACCCGCTAGACCGAGAGACAATTCGGTCCGACAGACCACCGCGGCCACCCGGTCCCCGGTAGGGGCTGGCACTAAACTCAATTCTATTCGACAGCAGCAGCTGCAGCAGCAGCAGCAGCAGGGCAACAAGACCGGGAGCCGCACGGCGCCTCCGGCCAGCGCCCGAGGAAGCGGAGGAGGGGCGGAGAAGGCCGCGCCCCTGGCGCCCAAGGGGGCCGCGCCGGGAGCTGTCCAGTCCTTGGCTGGTGCTGAAGCGGCCCCCGTGGCAACCCTGGCCCCGGTGGGTGTCAGGAGGCCTGGCGCGTCGGAGGAGCCGCCCCGGGAGCTAGAGCCCGCGTCCTCTAAACTCGGGGAACCCCCTCCTCTCGGAGAAGGAGGAGGAGGGGGTGGGGAAGGAGGAGGAGCCGGCAGCGGCTCTGGGGAAAGGGAGGGGGGCGCTCCGCAGCCGCCGCCGCCGCCGCCGCCCAGGGGCTGGCGAGGGAAAAGCGTACGCGCTCAGCCGAGGGGCGGCAGCGGCGCGGAGGGGGCCTCCCCCTCGCCATCCACCTCCTCTGCGGGCAAAACCCCAGGCTCCGGCAGCAGAAACTCTGGGATTGGCGTTGTGGGGCCTGGCAGCGGTGGCGGAGGGAGCTACTGGAAGGAAGGATGTCTGCAGTCTGAGCTCATCCAGTTCCATCTCAAGAAAGAGCGGGCGGCGGCGGCGGCGGCGGCCGCGGCTCAGATGCACAGTAAGAACGGCGGCGGCGGCAGCAACCGCAGCTCTCCGGTCGCTGGCGCCCCTGCCATTTGTGAGCCCCTCGCAGTCCCTCCCACCTCCCCAATGGCGGCGGCAGCAGAGGGCCCCCAACAGGGCGCAGAGGGCAGCGCGAGCGGCGGCGGCGGCATGCAGGCAGCGGCGCCCCCTTCGTCGCAGCCGCACCCGCAGCAGCTCCAGGAGCAGGAGGAAATGCAGGAGGAGATGGAGAAGCTGCGGGAGGAAAACGAGACTCTCAAGGTGAGGAGGGTGTGGGGGACGGGTTGGAGGAGGGGAGGTGTGGGCCTCGGAGCATTAGGGCGTGTCCGGGCGGGAGTGAGAGGCTGCTAACCTGTTAGGGAGCCTTCAAGAGGGTGGGGAACAGGAAATGATGGGAGGGGGTCCCTAGGCCCTTTCCGGATCTAAAAGGGCTTGCGATCAGCAGCGTTAGGTTTTTATTTAGATCCAAATCTGGGCCTTCGTTTCTCCGATTATTATGGTTTGGCTCACTTTTTCACGGACAGAGCTGGAGTAGGAGAGCGAGGGAAGGCCTAAAGAGGGCCCGTTTTTTCTAGTTTCTTCTCGTTCATTCAGCTCCGGGTCATTCCTGTCTCATGGAGAGGGAGCAGTAAAGCTGAGAATTTGGAGCTGGGATGGGGTGTAGACGGTGTCTGTCCGAGGGGTGGGAGGCGAAGCTAATTTTGACCCGCGGCCTGTCACCGCCTCAGAACGAGATCGATGAACTGAGGACCGAGATGGACGAGATGAGGGACACTTTCTTCGAGGAGGATGCCTGTCAACTGCAGGAAATGCGCCACGAGTTGGAGAGAGCCAACAAAAACTGCCGGATCCTGCAGTACCGCCTCCGCAAAGCCGAGCGCAAAAGGCTCCGCTACGCGCAGACCGGGGAAATCGACGGGGAGCTGTTGCGCAGCCTGGAGCAGGACCTCAAGGTCTGCGGCGCCGGGGCCTGGGGTGCGCGCGGCAGGGGCGGTGGGTGGGGACTCAGGTCACGGGCGCTTTGCGTTGAAAGGCCTTCAGTGGTGATTGGCAAAGAGCTCTAGGGACACGGAGTTTCGCAGCGCCAATCACAGAATGTCGAGGTCCCGGAAAGGGAAGAGGAAAAACGGACAGGTGGGTCTGAAGAGTCCTGTGTGGGGGGAGGGTCTTGCAGAGAGCGAGCTCTGCGGGCTGCCCTGGGAGCCACCGTGACGATTACAGAGGTGGTGGAAGGAGGGCGCCTCCTTCCGCGGCGGAAACGGCGTGGCAGAGCGCAGGCCTTGATCTGACTTCCAGAGACTGTCCTCCAAGCGCAGGCCAGATGGAGTCAGGCCCTCTCGAGCAGCGCGGTGAAGACTCCTTCAGTGGAGTTGAAGCCCGGAATAGGAACAGCACTGGGAAGATATTAGAGTTAAGATTTCTCTCTGAAAGCCGCCCCCGTCCCCAACGCCTTCTTCCAGAACTCCTTCCTTTCTGTAATTACCACTTAGATAACTCCCAGAAAGGAAAACTGTCCAGCTTGTGGTCCGTTTTGGAAAAGTAAAGGGAGAGTGCGCTAAATGAAAGAACCATGTTCTTAGTGAGGTTGTTTCTTCAGAGTCTCCCCCAGTGGAGAAATTTCAACTTTGAAGTGCGTTTTTTAGATAGGTGTGGTCTGTTCGTTCGGTTTTACTGTAGGCAGATTCACTGACAACGCAAATCAGATGTTATCTTCATGGTCTGGGACAGCAAACGAAATATAATTTTAATTGTATTAATTTCATGAAGATTTAAAAGCCGAGTGTAATTATCTTGTATTTTTTTTAAAGAAAGCCATGGGAAAACATTTTATGAAAGCCGTTGTATCATTTCTCTTTTTTTCCTTTTTATGACATCTGTCAAGTGTTGACTAGGCACCAGGCACTGTGGCAACCATTGTTACTCATATTATTATTTCATTTAGTTCTCAAGGAAAAAAACCTGTAAGGAAGGGATTATGAATAGCATCATTTTACAGGTGCCCACAATGAACCTTTTACGAAAGTTAAGTGCCCAGCCCCTAGCTCTGGAACTTGGCTAGTAGTTGGTCAGGCTGGCTCACCACCCAGTCCAAAACCACAGCCTGTGTCCTGAGCTACAGCACCAGACTGCCCCACTTTTCTTCCAAACCCTAAAATTTCTGAGGTAATCTTAAACAGGAGGCAAAAATGCACACACTAATTTAAACAAACAAACAAAAATCTCAAAGACTAAAATATTTCTTAAAACTAAGCACCTGGAATGTTAGGATCAAAATTCAAGCCCCAGACCCTACCTGGGAATATTTTATTTTCTAGTATTTAAAATAAGTGATAATGGAGTCATCTACCTCATAGTTTTGTTGTGGAATTAGAGACTTGTGAAATCTCTACACATGATAAAACACAATTGAACATTTATAACCATGATGTCATGTAGACATTAAGGGAACAGAGTGGAGAGCCAGACTACCTGGCCACTTGTTAGCTGTGTCACCTTGAGCATATTACTTTACCTCCATGAGACTCAGTTTTCCTCATCTATAAAACAGGAATAATAATAGGATCTATTTCATGGGATTGTTGAGAGAGTTAAATGGTTTATGTATGTGAAATGGCTTACATGTAATGCATCTGGAATGATGTCTGGCATATGGTAGACACTATATACACATTGGTTCTAGTACTTTTAGTATAACTTTAGCCCATTTGTTGTATTGTCTTTAATTACATTTTATTGTTAAAAACATTTTAGGTAGCAAAGGATGTATCTGTGAGACTTCACCATGAATTGGAAAATGTGGAAGAAAAGCGAACAACAACAGAAGATGAAAATGAGAAACTGAGGCAACAGCTTATAGAAGTTGAGATAGCAAAGCAAGCTCTGCAGAATGAACTGGAAAAAATGAAGGAGGTTAGTAATCAGTTATCTCATGGTGTGCTATATATATTTAGCTCTTCATAGAGAGTACCAAAGACTAATATGACTGTTAAAATAATTCAGTTTTTTATGATTATAGGACAGTTTGTTGTTCTCACCCAATATAGTAACAGATACATGATTTCATACTAATAAATAAGTAGCAAAGAAGAAATTCTCACCTCCACCCTGCCTCTGACTTGACATATATGAGCTGTGATGGATGCTTCATGTGTGATATCGAAATGGATGTTAATTAAATAAATTACACAGCTATACCAAACACAAAGGATATCAAGGGTATGAAGGAATAAGCCTTCTGTTAGTTGGGGGGAAGCACTAATCCTGTGAGATTACTACTGTGTTCATAGAAGCACAGACTATGTTCATAGAAGCACAGACTTTTAAGATGAAAAAGACCATAAAGGCCATTCAATCTAATCTGATCATTGCTTGATTCCTTCTTATAACAAAGCCCCCAAGTGGTCTAATACTTAGAACTTCACCAGTGACTAGCCCTTAAGGTCGTCTCCAGCAGCCAATTTGATCACAGCATAGCTCTGTTTAAGGTTTTCTTTGTTTTGAGTTGAAATCTATCTACTTGTAACTTTAATAAATTCATCTCAGTCCTACCCTTTCGGGTATAAGAGTCAGAGTTCTCTTCCACATCAGCTATTACAAAATTCCTACCATGTTTCCCCTGAATCTTCTCAAAGCACAAAATCAGTATCAAAGAAAATAAGGAGAATAAAAGAAACAGAAAGATGTATCAAGAAATAATTAGAACTAACACACCATTGTAGAGCAATTATACTCCAATAAAGATGTTTAAAGAAAAAAAAGAAATAGCTTTGTGATAAGTAACAGTTTGAATTAAAATAATATTCTTCCTTGAAAACTGCCTGAAAATGTACAGTGCAACTTGTGAAAACCATTATTGAGAATTAGCAAATGCACACGTGGTCCTCTGAACACTTCCTCTGCTTAAATATGCAGAATTTAAATGAAAATCCTAATCTTCCCATAGACTAACTGAGATATTGGCACGTTCCACTGCTGTGTTTATCTCGAAATGGTATAAAAATATAACTACCATGTAACAGTGAAAATGTCAGTTGTCAATTAAGAATGTGTGGCAGGAATTTGTAGAACACTGTTTCAGTGGGGTAACCTGTTTTGTGATCTAAGTTTCTACTTATATTATCCTGAATTTAAACATTTTTAACATGACAAATTAGGGCAAAATCATTGTACTGGGGCTTCCCTGGTGGCGCAGTGGTTGGGAGTCCTCTTGCTGATGCTGGGGACACCGGTTCGTGCCCCGGTCTGGGAAGATCCCACATGCCGCGGAGCGGCTGGGCCCGC